CACACACACACACACACACACACACACACACACTATGACGACAATTAAAGCACTACCTACTGTATCCTAACATATTCAGTAGGACTTCTGTTCAGCATCACGGGTCGGCTCAAGGTAGGCATTATGTACACCAGCACAATTAAAGAAACAATATGTTCGGAAGAACTCCACTGCTTGTGTAGTATGGAATAGACACTACCCCCCTCCCCCACCCAAACTGCAGAATATGTATGCCCCACCTACATTTACATGCAGTATCATTCATAACATTTAAAGTATCCTGTAATTTCAGGTGTATTAGTTCTTTTGTTGTCAGTAAGGTACAGTTTAGTTACCTGTTGTGACTCCTATGACAGAAAAATAGGTTTGTGGTCAACTAAACAGGCTTGCATTTCACACTGCGCAAATGCATTTTTGCATGAATAGGCAAGATGACCATGATTTCAATATACTGTACATTCTTTTTGAAACAACAATGCAAAATTTGTGCCCTGTATATTGTGCCCTGGCTTAACAAACGGTCGGAAAGGCTCTTTGTAAGCACCACAAATGACTTGTGGTGTACCACAAGGCTTGCTACTCAGTCCACAATATTTTATTTTAACTCGATAGCCGTCCATAATTGTAAAATCAAATATCTTCTGTCATTACAGCACAAAACTAGTGGCGTTTTTCAATACTTGCTCCTAGGGCCATGCCACATGAATCAAATAAAAAAAAAACATTTAGATACTGGTTTTCATACATTCAAATTGCAATGTCCAAATCGAGTATTTAAAGCTCGATGGGATAGATCTGCTCCGCCTTACAAGTTTGAGTTACGTCTCCAGCCTAGGACACTGAGTGCTATTTCGGGCACCACTGTATCCTGCCAACACCCATAAATTAGGTCATGCAAAATAAATAAATAAATTTGAACAAATGATACAGCGAGGATAAGGACACTGAACCGGGGAATATTGTGATTTAAAAAGTCTGTTTTGATTCGTCATTTCATCATGAGTCACATATGAAGTGTTAACAGTTTCTTCATTCGGGTTGTTTTCCAACAGATCGACAACGAAGAATACGGTGAGGCCTTGTCTCTCGCCCATGCTTATAATCTGGACTCAGATCTTGTCTACCAGAGACAATGGAGGAAGAGCACAGTCAGCATCGCCTCCATACAAGATTATCTTGTACGTAGGACACAAGACAAGCCCCTTTTTGCCATTTCGCACATCATTTCTTGACACCGTCTCCAACCTGTTGTCCCCAGAGCAAGATCCGCAAGCGCTCGTGGGTCCTGCACGAGTGCGTGGAGCGCGTCCCGGAGAACGTGGACGCGGCCAAGGAGCTGCTGCAGTACGGGCTGAAGGGCACTGATCTGGAGGCGCTCATCGCCATCGGCAACAGAGAGGACGGGGGCAGGTGCGCGACTCGTTTCCTTTTAAATTCAATAAAGGTGCGGTGGTGGGGAAGCTCACCGGCGCTGTCGGCTGTCAGGTTCATCATGCCGGGCGATGTGGACCTGGACGACCTTCCCTATGAGGACCTGTCAGATGAGGAGGAGGCGGAGATGCAGACGGAGAAGGAGAGCAGGAGGAAGCGAGAGCTGCTAGACAAGGTCGACTTCAGCAGGTTAGTGAGCGTGTGGCATGCTGAAATGATGACAGGTAAAGAGATTGGGAAACTTGCTATATTTCCTAAAATAGTGCCCAGGGTCTTGAATGTACTCACTTGCAAAGATGACTTGGTTGTCAATTCATGCGTAAAGGTGTTCATACATAGCATATAGCATATTTTCTCATATAGGGGCTCTGGGACATTCATTTACTCGCTTCCACATACTGTTTCCATTATAAATAGTGTGTGTGTGTGTGTGTGTGTGTGTGTGTGTGTGTGTGTGTGTGTGTGTGTGTGTGTGTGTGAGAGAGAGAGAGACTTGGCCACTGGACTGCAGTGTAATCGTCAGGCAAACACAAACAAAGAAGTGTTTCACAGTTGTGGCTCAGTAAGATGCAGTAATTGAGTCATTTAGTCATTTTTTTCACAGAGGATAAAGAATACATGCCTGTGATTATTATATATATTTTCTGTCCATGTGTTTTGCTCCACCCTTTATGGTCACATATATGTGGCTAATCGGTAATCGTGGCGTTTTGCATTGTGCTAGCATTAAGCTAGCTGCGTGCATTCTTAAGTGTTTCACAGTTGTGGCTCAGTAAGATGCAGTAATTGAGTGATTGGGTCATTTTTTTCACAGAGGATAAAGAATATATGCCTGTGATTATTATATATATTTTCTATGTGTTTTGCTCCACCCTTTATAGTCACATATATGTGGCTAATCGGTAATCGTGACGTTTTGCATTGTGCTAGCATAAAGCTAGCTGCGTGCATTCTTAAGGCAACTCTGTGTGTGTGTGTGTGTGTGTGTGTGTGTGTGTGTGCGTGTGTGCGTGTGTGTGTGTGTGTGTGTGTGTGTTTTAATACACTGATCAAATTGTTGCTTGCAAAAAGCAGCCGAGCGACGCTTGTATCTTGAAAAAAATTGTTTATCAGCTTTTGTCCTGTTGCCTTCTCTCAGAAGGTTGAAAGTGGCAATGACTTTTCCCTCGTTTCAGCCGCTCTGGTTCGAACGTGGAGTTAGTTGCTAGGTGTGGGAGGAAACAGGAGAGTGGGGCGCCACCTTTAACAATCATGACTTTGTGGGGGGACATTACCGTGGATGAGAGAACTTGGCGGCGGCGCTAGCCAAGATTAGCGGCTAATCATCTTGCTGTAATTTATGCCTTTGTTGTTAAGCACCCGAGGAAAGACTAATGAAAAAGCCTTCAGTGGCCACTAATCACCTCTCAAACGTGCAGATCCACTTGCACACCATCAAGCCCTTCCCACGCACATTAAACACAATTAAAACGTCCAAAAGGTAAATGCGGGGTGAAAACGCGCATTTACGCAAATAAATGGCGCTCATTAAAAATACATTTATGTGCAGATGTAGCCTTTTCCGCAGCTGGAAGCTCTCCATTGTCACTCCCGCTCATTTGGCGCTTCACTGTCAGCTCAGAGAGTGCCAGCACAAGGTGGGCACATTTCACTCCTGAATTTCGGTGCCTGAAAAGAAAATATGATTGGATTGAAAGAAATCACTTCAGGGTCTAATGAATTGCCTTCTTTATAAATTCTCCTGCACGCCGGTGTGTACGTGTGTGTCTGTGTGTTGGGAGCTAATGGATGTACCCATGTTGCCTTGAGGCCTGCGGCAGAGGCCAGAGATGGATAATAATTCTCTTAATTTCTTTTTAACTACACCGCCGTTACAGAAACGGCTTGGTATCGATCACGTCTGCTCTGCTCTGTCTGCGTACGTGTGTAGATAAAGACTATATTTAACAGTTGTCTTGTCCGAGTGCTTCCCCTGTTCCTCAGGCTACTCCTCGATGTGCTTTGAAAATATTACGGTGAGCCCGTGTTTACTACGGAGGGGATGCTTTGCACACCCAGCCGCAGTCGGTGAAAATCTGCAATAAAGAGATAATGGTTTTACGCTTTTAAACAGCGTATGAGGTACTGCTGCATTTTGATATTAAGAAATAAAAGCACGGCTGCCAGGAATTGCTGTTGCTTTTGCAGCCCTCAGAGCGAAATGAATGACCTGACAGCCTCACTTTGTTTTTTGCTGCTCTCGTTGTTGCCGTTTTACTTGCTGCGGAAGTTTGTAATACTTGCGGCAGAGCATTCACTCATTCCCAAAAGTAATAGTAGTAAGAAGTAAATAAATAACTATAAAACCCCGAGACTTATTTTATTTATTTATTTTACTCCTTATATTTCAGCAGCTGCAAACTGGTGCAAACGTTTTTCAACAAAAAAAACTATTGTTTTAATCTTTTTATCGCCACCTCATCCGTCTTGTTTTTGTTTGCGCGCGCGGTTCGACGCCAGTGTAATAAAGTCGCAGTGTGACGCTGTTAAAATACACCTCTCACCACTTCTGGCCTCCAAAGAGCAACACTGTAATTAGCTCCAGTACGAGTGCTAAGCCGGCGCGCTTTGATGCGGCGGAGGGCACGATGAGCCGGTGTTAATCTCCACTAGTGTGTGTCGAAGAAGCCGATAAGAAATGTTAGTGCGCCCTGCAATGAGGGATTAAGACTGCAATGGAGGGGTCGTATCCCCCGTGGTCACTCTTCACTCAATCGCCGTTGTTTTTCGCACTCGCAGGTTTTTGCACACAACGGTAGCGACAATAGTTTTGGATTATTTCAATAAAATACAAACTAATTGTCAGTTATGTGAAAATAATGGATGAAATTTAATTAATGTAAAAAGACATCAAGCCGTGAATGATAAAAAATAAAATTTGAGAAAAGTAACAGGGTAGTTCCATAAAACACAAAATAAATTTAGCAATAATCAATAACCTATAGAATTTAATTTTAATATAAAGCTACAGTAAAATGTGTTTAGTTAAAAAATAAAGTGAAAGTAAAATAATAATATAGTTTTGTATGGATTATTTGAATGAAATACAAAATCACGTCAACCTGTTGAATGTAATTAATTGTTTTGGATTATTTTAATTCATTTCATTTTGAAAAAATAATAATACATAACCTGTAAAAAAAAAGGCAATGTAAGCTAAAAAATTGTTTGCGTGAAAATGAAATAAAATTAAAAGGAAGTGTTTTTGGATCATAATAATACAATACAAAATAATAAAACAATCTATGATATGATTCATGGAAAAATGCCTTCAAAAGTTTATGATTAATAACAAAGTCATAAGAAGAAAAGGTGGTCAACTGGTTCGCACGTCAGCCTCACGTCGGCAGAGGTGCAGGGTTCAATTCCGGCTCTGGCCTTCCTGTGTGAAGTTTGCCTGTTCTCCCTATGCCCGCGTGGGTTTTCTCTGGGTACTCCGGTTTCCTCCCACATTCCAAAAACATGCATGGCACGTTGATTGGGCACTCCAAATGGTCCCGAGGTATGATTGTGAGTGCGAATGGTTGTTTGTCGATGTGTGCCCTGTGATTGGTTTGCAACCCCGCCTGCTGCCCGAAACCTGGGATAGGCTCCAGCACGTCCGCAACCCTCGTGAGGATGAGCGAATTCGAAAATGGATGGGTTGATGAAATCAAAATCTGATTTTTTTTGGCCAAGTATGCAAGAAACACACAAGGAATTTACTTCCCAATTACAACCCGTCTGGAGAAACATAAACAAGACAGCAATAACCAACATGGGGAAGACAGAACGAGAAGCCTGGATGGAGGGTTGCTTTTAAGTGCCCCGATATCTTAGATGTGAAAGGAATACAGTCGCGAAAAGGAGGGGTAAAAAAACCCAGCCTCCAACCATTCCCCTTAAATGGGAGGATGGTTTGAGCAAAAAACCTCAGCACATGTATCGTACATTTAAAAAAAACAGTACAACAATTCTCGAGACTTAACCTGTAATGAACAGGGTGTCGGGAGGGAGGAGAGGATGTGAAATGGGTTGCACACAATAGGTACGCTCAAGTCTCTCCAGTTGTGCCACGGGGGAGGGGTGGAGTGAATAGGAATCCAGATGTTGACATTGCGCCTGCAGCTGCAAGACCTTATCAGTCACAGGCTCGGGGAGTCGTGTAAGGAGAAGGAGATAGGAATACTCGCATCCGTGTGTTTTTCCCATCCAGGGGAAAGTCCAGATAACAGTTGTTTTGGGAACAGGCCATCTCCAATTTCAGACAGCCTTGGATGTCAAGAAAGCGTCCGCTTTCGCTGAGAGCTACAGCAGAAAAAAATGGATGGATGGATGTATCTTTAAAATAAAGCATTGTTTTCCAGTTTAAATTAAAAGCTCATTCAGTACCAGCCAATTCTGGACCAAGTCTGAAAAGACGTTTAAAAACGTCTTTGGGAGTGAATGAGTTAAAGACCCATGAGAAACGTTGAAACATCTTGTTGGTGTGTCAATTTGTTAAAAAAAAAAATGGTAGTTTAAAAAGGATTTAGTGACATTTCTGACTTTGCCAACGAGGTTGCAGCCTTGAGTTGAATACCTGCTAACTGTTCTCATTTTGGCCCATTCTGTGGTTCCAACCTTGCAGGGACTCTGTAAGTGTATTTTCATTTTTGTATGTCTGGACAATAATTCAATTTTCCAAGACTTGTGCAATTGAAAGCTCTCACCTGAACACTCGCCTTGCTCTACTTTACTGCCTTTCATTCCTTTCCTGATTGGAAGTAGCGTGCATCCAATAAAGCGCGGCGCCTTGTTATTTGCGGGCGTCCGCTTTATTTACAGCCGGGATTCAATTACGCAGAAAATGGATTTCGCCCGGGCGTACAGTACTGTACAACCAGTCACGTGGCTGACAACCCACCTTCCGATGCAGCTCCAAAAAAAAAGAAGACGACTTTCTGGTTGTTCTCATCAGTTGATTTGCTGTGATTAGGCGGAGATGATGCCTACTTGGCACCGGATGATATTTTGGACAATAATGAGAAAAAAAATCTTTTCGAGAGGTGACATAAAATGACCATCTTAAAATAATGTGGTTGCACAAGTGTGCACACCCTTTTCCAACTGGCGATTTGGCTGTGTTCAGAATTAACCGACCAACAATCAAACTACTCAGCACACACCTGCAACTATTATAAGTGCCTCTCATTCACCACAAATGAAGTTTAGCTGTTCTAGTAGGCTTTTCCTGACCTGATTTTTTTTTTCACCATCTCGTTTTTATGCTAACAGTTACTGCTATGGACAACTATATAATCAAACTAAATCACATTTTGCCGTCGCAGACTGACGCTGGAGCAGAAGGAGTTGTGTCGGAGCCGACTGAAGCTGCTGTCGTACTTGGACAGGCTGGCAACGTACGAGGTAACATCGACTGGATCTGTTCCACGCGGGAACAGATTCATGGCCGTCATTGTTATTGTTGACGTAATGCTGGTGTAGTTACGCTATTCTGTGTCCATCCAAAGGTAGTCAAAAGCTTCCATGAACTCATTCACTCCCAAAGACGTATTTAGATGTCTTTTCAGACGCCACACAATTAATTCCAGCTCATTTTATATTGACTGTACTTGAAAAGGGTCTGAAAGGGTCTGCCATTTTCAGGCCCTTTCAGCCATTTTCAGACCCTTTCAAGTACAGTCAATATAAAATGAGGAGCTGGGATTAAATGTGTGGCGTCTGAAAAGACATCTTTAAAAGCGTTCATATATTTTGCTCGAATGGCAAAGCGCAGAAAGCACTTGTTTGGTTCACCCGTTCACCAAATCAAAGGTTGCGGCCGTGCTTTTTATCTTCTTACGGTCCACATAAATGCCTCTTTTTTTATTGACTGATTACGCCGTCTGGCGCCACAAGCCTCCGTGGATTATGAATGAAAGGCGTCATCGACACGCCAACTCCAAAATTAGCTTTAATTAAACGTCTTAGATTTCAAACAGTATCATGGTGGCTTGAGATACGAATTTCATTCATTTTTATTCACGTGTATGTTAATGAGGAAAAATTGCAGTTAATCATATAGTACCCTATCAAAACACACAAATTAATTCAAAGGGAGTGCAAAGGTTTTTGTCACTGAATCGATTGAATGGGTGGACCTAGGCCCCTGGGGGCAATTGAAAACCGACAGATGGCTCAGTGCCGAGCTGAGCTCATCAGTACGGCACTAAAGTTAGCACTGCTATGTGTGTCCATCCACATGTGCCGCTGCACATTTTATGTTCAGTCTGTTGCTTCAAGGTTTATAGCACTGCAACGTAGTTGCTCTTTAGCGCTACCTTCAAGCTAGCAAACATAAAAGCTGAGCGCGCACAATGTGTAATTGTCACTTTCGCCCGTTTCTCAAGTAAATAAATAAATCAGTTGGACGGCGACTAGTATCCCAAAAACCTCGACGGTTGAGTCAGTCGTATCTCAATGCACCGTCGTATTCTCTGTTCTGTTTTTGCCTCACTCGGAGCTCTCACGAAACCAATGGCTTCTTAACTGCACGTTAAGTCCCGCCCAAAGCAAAAAGAGGCTTTTCTTATCTGCCTTCCATTGATATTCTCTCGGAAGCGCGCTAATCTCATTTCCCCACTTTTGAAAGGTTGTAGGCCATACATTGCGTGAGATGCATTTGAACAATCTTGACACAGGAATGGATGGCTTTCCGCCAAGAAATGTGCTTTTATTGCACCGGTGAAGGCCACCAAAAGTATATCAAGCGGGAGAGTTGAGATTCAGGGTGAGTAATGTGAACGGCGCCACCTTTTTCCACGCTCCATAAATTGCCACGCGGTGCGGCGCAGCACACTTTTTCTCGAGCAGCCAGCAGGAAAAAGATGAGATTTTAGCCTGCTAAGATAGAGCCCAGCCAAACGGACATTGTCATGGTAACCGCAGCTGCGCCTTCGCATCCGTTCTCCCCGGCCGTCTATGAATACGATATTACTGAGGTTTTATCATCCCGACGACGCACGCAGTCGTCTGAGCACGGCCCATTCAAAGGTTGCTTGCCAGACCCGCACGCAATTTTAAAATATTTTTCCCCCTCCCCCATTTGAAATAATGGGAAGAGCAATAATATGTTCCTGGTCAAATTGACTACATGATAAAACCTTTGTCAACGCAGACAGTGGCAGCTGTTTTGGAAGTGGAACTTTATTGCTAGACGTATTTTGGCTGGTCCGCAGTTCTGTAAAAATATGAACACCACAAGTCTGTTTCTCTTATTTCACCAGAACAAAGTTCATTTGTAGCTTTTTCCATTCTTTAGTAATCAGCACTAGGATATGGGTTGGTTTCTCTCAATGGTGACACATACTCTGTTTATACAAAATACATAAACATACTCTGTTGGAGTGTGAGGTGCCTAAATTTGTGCAAGAAACTCCACAGCTAGTATTAGCTTAGCTCTTTTTTTTTTTTGTCTTTCTAAGTATTGTCATCTTATTGTGTCCCATACAGGAGATACTCGGAGGTCCCCACGCCGCCGAGCAGAAATACGACGCCGAGTTCTTCAAGAAGTTCCGTAGTCAGAATATCATTTTGTCGGCACGGAACTACGCCAGGGTAAAAATGGAATTCCAACCGCAATAACTCTCCTTTTATGCTCAAGCGCCACACCCCGTCACAAAAATTGCTTTGCGCTACAGGAGAGTAACGTGCAGGCCCTGGACATCCTCTTCACGTATCACGGGGCAGAGCTGCTCGAACATCGACTCGCCATCCTTTCCAACTTCCCGGAGACCACCTCCCCGCACGAGTACACCACCTTGCTGCCTGAGGTCTGGTGAGTATCTGGTACCACAAAAGAAAAAAGATAAAATGCAACCTTTAGGAGCCTTGAGAATACTGAAACCATGCCCAACTCAACACACGTGCACAACAAGCTTCAGCACTGAATTTATACAGTGCTCAATTCAGATTTCACACACACACACACACACACACACACACACACACACACACACACACACACACACACACACACACACACACACACACACACACACACGAGCGTCTTCTTCCCTATTTACGAGTGCTTGTGTGACATTTTGTATGGAGGTGGGCCATTTGCGGCTCTGCAGTGAGCATCCATCACGGCCAGCCGGGGCTCGCCGCAGGCCGCTTCCCCGTCGTCCGCCAGCTTAAGTGCGCCGGCCGCACTGCAGCACGAGAGCGAGTGAGCGTGCGGGAGGGGGCTGGGGGGGGAAGAAAAAGCAGCGGCAAGCAGCCCCGCCGCGATTATTGATCAGGTTACAGTAGCAGAAAAAGAAAGGGAAGCTCCAAAGATTCACCACTTGGCTTGTGAATTTGTCTGTTTATCCTTTATTCCCCCCCCCCCCCCGACACGCTCAAAGCTCGAGAAGATTGTCGGAATTATTCATTCCCCACATCTTTGCTCTCACATTAATATTTACTCTCCATCTTTCTTTCATATGAGATTTTCCTTTTTAAAGACAACCTTCCAGGGCTCTTCGTCGTCTTTTCAAATTCCGCATGTTAATGAATGAACTTGTTGAAAGATAAACGTTCCATTTTTAATAGGAATCGCTTGCCACTTGGATGATTGTTTTGGGCTTCTTTAGGATTGTCGCGGCGTTAATCACTGCACAGAGAAGCTTTTGCGGGTTTGTCATGGTCGTTTTACACCGAGAGTCCCCGTTCAAGTGGAAATAAAATGTCTTGCAAATGTGACACACCATACAGACGAACGAGTGTTACTGAAAAGCCTGACAAATTTGAATGATTAAAAACATAGCCAAGTATGGAAAATGTTGAAAAAAAATGTTTTTCTTTCCCATGCTGTGTCTTTTTTGTCTTTTGTGTTATTATATACTGTTTTGTAAAGCACTTTGTTACGGCTGCAGCTGTTGTGAAAGCGCTATCCAAATAAAAATGTTTTTTTGTATTGTATTTTTGTGGTCAGCGTGGACGAGCGAGGCGAGCAGGCGCTGATGGCCTGGGACGAGCAGCGGCACCGACAGACCGACTGGTGCGAGGCGGACCAGTGCAGGTAAGATCCCACAATGCTCCTCTCGTAAAATGCCGTCCCATCTTCCGTTAGTGTGGGTCCAGGTGGCGAAAAATAATCAGCCCTGTCGTGCGAATGTGAAAGGGAGCCATGAGCAACTCATGGTTTTCTCAAATCATCTTTCCCCACAGCAAATGAATGGAAATGCCTTTAACTCATTCAGTACCAGCCAATTCTGGACCAAGTCTGAAAAGACGTTTAAAAATGTCTTTGGGAGTGAATGAGTTAATCTGTCCCAGCATCCTCCCAAAAAAATAAATTAAATAATAATAAGAATAAGAATAGCAGTGGGTTTTTTTTTCATGAAATAATATTGTACTTCATAAAAACATAATAGAATATTAAATAGAAAAAAATGAAAGTATGCACAAAACTGATTGATTCATGGTGGCCCCTTCTGGAAAACTAAGAATTTCGCTCATTTTTTTTTTTTTTTTTTTTGCACATGATAAAGAATGTGAATGAAACACAAAGAAATTGTTTTGTATCTCCAAATTTGGAGATTTTTGTAAACAAAACCAAAACAAAACAAAAAAACATTTGTTTCCCTTTTTTTTTCATTTTTTTAATGATTGCTGTTTCATTTTTTTGGATTGACACTTTTCAAAACACAGTTCACCATTTTTTTTCCCATAAAGACAAGTTCTTTCTGTTTTGGATACAATGAAAACAAAATTTAAGTTAAAAAAAACAAAGAGAAATACTTGTAGAGCGACTTTTTCTTTTTCCTCCAGATTTGCAATTTTTTTTCTTGCATTTAAAAAAAAAAAATTCATTCAAAACGCTCAGTAAAGCAACTCTTGCTGTCCCTGCACAATTCGTCGCAACATGCTTTTTATTTAACAATGACTCTATTCTAATTAAGTGTATATCCGGATAACCTCGGTCAGGGCCGTGTTGGAACAGAACCCGTTTGACGATGACGCCTTCCTGTACGAGGACGCTCCGGATCTGCTGCGCTTCCGCTCGCAGACGCCTTCCGTGCGGCTCTTGGCCGACTGGTACTGCAGCCGAGCGCGGGATATAGAAGCCTGCTCCCGACAGGTACTGCCAGCTCCCGCCCGCCCGCCGCATCCAGCCACCTTTTCAATCACCTTTTGCAGCGCTGCCTCGAGATACGAGTGACCTGCCTTACATGAGCTTCTGATGTTGTCACATCAGGCCCACTCCCCACTTTTTACCTCCTTCCCACTCATTGATCCAGCTTGTAACAGCAGATTCTCCTGTCTTGTTGACAGCACTCACAAGCGTGCTGCCGTCGTTTTGAGGATTTGCGGGTTCATTGCTCATTTTTCAAGACAACTGTAGGGAAATCACGCCTTTCATCATCCACTCATGATGATGCCACTACTCGTACGCGCATGTGTGTGTGTAAGACACCGTCTTTGTTAATCTCCGGGAATCACAGCAGCAGCTCTCTGCTTCTTTTCTTCTCTCCCTCATTCTTTTTTAATTAGACCGCATCTGCCTTTCTTGCCATGCGCATCACGTTACTCCGGGAGTCCCCAGGGATCTTACCTCAGTCCCTTGACGCCTCAGTCCCATACACTATTTTTTTTCCCCACCCGTGTGCTCATGCGCTTGACAGCAAAAGGAAGTCCGGACCCTTTGCGTGCAGACCTTGGCCAAGGCGAAATAAAATTGAATGCGATTTTATTGTAAAATTGCCAATTGTGCATATTCTAAAACTCTTTTTTTTTGTGTGTGTTTAATACTAATTTTCTAATATATTTTTGTAAAAGTGATATACCCCTGTTGGAATGGAGATAAATCATTTGTATTGTTTTATTTTTGAAAGAACAAAAATGCAAATTTGACACCAAACAAAAACTGTTGACAAGAATTTGTACACATACAAAGCTGAAGGATATATATGTCCGAATGTGTTGCATTTCAGGTGGACTGTGCGCTGTCGTTGGTGCGTCTGGGGACAGAGCGTGCCGTCCCCGGGCTGGACCTGCTTTGCAGCGACCTGGTGACGCTAGAGACGCTCGTCTACGAGACGCTGGGCGAGATCAACCTGACCCTACGAGACCTGCAGCAGCTCGCCGACATCGACAAGCTTCGCCTGCTCATGAAAAACGTAAGGCAAATCATTTGTGACAGTATCCATCAATTTTTGTTCTGTGTCGAGAAAAAGTGTTGATGTAAATTTGGGAGATAATCTAAACTGAGCATTATTGTTTTAAAATGTTGATTTTTTTTTTATTATTTTGTAAACGGGGTATTTTGCATCCTTTGTGGCAAAATCAAAAAAACCAATTGCGTTCATGATTTGTTCAAATAACTTGGGCAAAAAAACGAATCAAAAGTTGGTGTCACACTTTTTATAATTTAAATGTTTTTGGTACTTTTTATGTTTAACTAATTGGTTTCAAAGTTTGTCAAATCATTATTGTTCTAAAATTCCTGATATATTTGTGAATTTAGTTTGAAGGCAGCAGCTTTCCTAAACGTTCTTTTCCTGTTAGTCATTACAAGTACGGACGTTTCACGGTGTCGTTTGTTCTGCAGTGTTTGTTTTCCTTTCTCATTGGAGCACACTAATAAAAGCTGACAGCGGCGATTGCGGCTAGCGTAGCGACCACAGTGTCCTTGGAGTGCGTTATATGAGGCGAACGGTCGCTAATGTGCAGCCTGTTACTTGGGCCTGCCAGGAGCTGCGCCAGTAAGATCAGCCAAGCGGGCCGCCAGACAGCTAGCAAATGTCGTTTACTGCCACGACAACAACCGTTTGACTGCCCAGCTGGGACTCGCTCGCTCTCCTATGTTCTTCAATTAAACAACCTCCTTTGCATGCATCTTATGTCCTTCTTTATCACAGATCAGCCGAGTCAAGTACTGTATTTGAGATATCCTTCTCCCTCCTAATTTGAGACCAAAAAAAATGCTTGTTTCAAAGCATGGTCAAAGAGAGCAAGCCATCCATCCATCCACTTTCAAATCCGCTTATCCTCATAAGGGCCGCGGGCATGCTGGAGCCTATCCCGGCTGTCTCTGGGCGGTGGGCGGGGTACATCCGGAATTGGTTGGCAGCCAATCACCGGTTACACATCTGCGCTCACACCCACACCTAGGGACAATTTAGAGTGTTCCGTTCACCTGCCATGCATGTTTTGGGAATGTGGGAGGAAACCCGAGTACCCAGAGAAAACCCACGCAGGCCCGGGGAGAACATGCAAACGCCACAAAGGAAGGCCGGAGCCGGAATCGAACCCTGCACCTCAGCACTGTGAGGCGGACGTGCTAACCAGTCGATCACCGTGCCGCAAGCCATTTAAAATGAATTTTGTTCATTTTCTTTTGTCAAGTTAGTCGATGTCTTTGCGCCAGCAGTCCTGCAAGGAACGCTACGTGAAAGACGCCTTCCAGTGGATGGTGCCCTTTCTGCACCGCTGCGAGGGACAGAAGGAGGGCGCCGCCGAGCGTCTGCTGCGGGACTTCCTGGTGGGATTGGCCTGCAGCGACCTGGCCTTCCCGCTCCTCATCTTCCAGCACTCCAAACCTGACGTGAGTGCCAAAAACCAAACTATTATTTTTCATAGAAATCATTTTAGACACAACTAATTGTACATTTCTGGAAATATTTGAGCCCTCTTATTATTACTAACTTGTAAAACTAATTTGGCAAAATATCTTGAAACTGATTTATTTTTCTGAATTAAATACTGCCGCTTTTCATGACCCAGATTCATGAAATCTGAGCAGCGGTGCTTTTTTTCAACAATTATATTACTTTGTTAATTATTTGTAGAAAAATGAATTAAAACGGCGCATCAAAAAGGGTTCGTGACTAATTTTGTATTATTTTAAGATCAAATCGTTTGTGATTCGTTTCACCAAGTGTTCATTTGCATTCATTCATTTTTTTTCCCCCTCTCTTTTATCCAGTGTGCGCAGAAAGTGATCGGGGACCCCGACCAGCTGATGGCGGTGGCGCTGGAGTGCATCTATTGCAGCGAGAGAGACGACCAGCTCAGCCTGTGCTACGACATCCTGGAGTGTCTGCCTCAGAGGGGCTTCGGGTAAGGCCAAAAAAACAAAACCTGGCCCCCTTATCTCTCATTGGGACTCCTAAGACTGCAGCTCCACTCTGTTCTGCTCGCTTTCCACTTGAGAGACCGCATGCATTTTAAAAGAAGCAACCAGCACCCCCCAAAAAAAAATAAAAATCTGAAAACGGTGAGCCCGAATACATTACAGGGCTTTTTATTATAATTGAATCATGCCCCCTGTGTGCACCTTGATCCTTATATGCTGTCACATGTCTTCTGTGCACCTGATAAAGCTTTTGCTGGCCCAGATGACAGCAACTCAAATGCATTTTTCCCGATACATTGACTATTACAGCACCGTTTCATTCAATCCGTCCGACTCGCTGTCATACTCGGAATACTTTTTTTAAGAGGCTCTTACATACTGAGCACTTGTGCTTTTGATTTATGGGGAAACGAGATGCACAAGTGCTTTCTTAAAAGACGGTCGAGGGAGACGAGGACTGAAGGTGATGGAAAGGTGGAATGAGTTGTGCTCAAATAGAACAGACAATCTGCGACATAAAAAGCGGGCAACGCACGCACACACACATGCCAGGGCGAGTTGGTCCTGGGTCAACTCTCGAGCGAGCGCCGCAGCAGCCTGACCCAGAATCGTCGGCCTGGAGGCGAAGCGTCATGGGGGTCTCTTATTTTTAGGTTGGCCTCGTAGCGGGCGCAAAACAGGCCACAGTATTCAATTGAAACACGTTTCCAGCGTTCTGATTGACAGGCTCGGCTGAATCTTTTCCGCTTAGCCAGGACAAAATACCGAAAAATCAGGGCAGGACGTTTCTGAGGCAGGCAAGAAACATGCTTTTGGAAAACAAACAAAATGAATAAAATCTACTGCTAAATCGAAATAATTGAATCTAACTTGGTGGAAATAGTGATGTACAACCATTAAAATCTTAAATTAAATTCATGCAAATTTCAAACATTTTTGCAATAGAAAAATATTAACTTTTTTTCCATTTCCTCTGCCCTTCCGCCCCCCAAAAATGATGACAAATTTAAATTCATAATTCATTTAAAATTTACGCCAAGCCAGTAACCTTCATGAAGTGGGCTGCAAATGTTCCCTGGGCCAGATTTTGGACACCCGAAAATTCGCTTTCAAAAAATCCTTGAAAAAAATGCTGTCTTTCTAATTCTCCAGGCCAGAGACGGACATCACATCATCTCTGCACGATCGGGTGGACAAACTGGAGAAGCACCTCAGGTAACGCCAACCTCATTTCTTCCCTGATACAGCGGAACTTTTTTTTCCCCCACCTAAATTTAGTCTGGTTTTGTACATCCTCTTATTTTTCTTACAAAAAAATAGCCACTCAGCCAAGGCATTTCTTAAGTCAGGCAGGTTCATCGGATGGCAAGATGCCTTCCGCTCTACCAGCTTTGATGGACAACTCAAAAGCAATCACACACAGGCAACATCTGTGAAACACATCCTGTCAAAAAAAAAAAAAACTTCAAAATAAAAGCTTGCAGTACAATAGATTTTGCAACACTATCTTTGACCACATGGTGGCTTCTTGAGCAGCTGCATGAAATAAACTAGCACAAAATAGTTTGATTGCTAAACAATGCATTTCGAGTCGGGTCGGGCCTAAAATGTCAATCATTGCTTCGGGTCGGGCCGGGCCGGGCTTCTCTCTCGCTAACTTTTTAAAAATAGATATATAACAAACGTCACAGTGCGCTGAGGCGTATCAAGGCCGTGAATAGTTTTGGCCACGAGAGACCGTGGTTCGCAAAAAAAAAAAAACAGAAGTCGCCTCATCACAACACGTACTGTACTAAACTCTTGCAATGACAATTCAAAGAACTCCTTCCTGTCTCTGTCTATTGTCCACCCGTCATTGTTCTTCTTTGTCTCGCTGCTTCTCTGTCTTCAAGTGCCGCGCTTGATTCTTAAGGACGTACTGCCGCTGTGGTGAATGGCCCAATTTTCAACCCGTCAAAATGACGGACGGCCTTAAATTTTTCCCGTCGACTCTTAAAAAAATCCGTCAATGATGGAAAATTGTCGGTTAATGTAACCTCTGCAGAAACAGAAATGTCCAAGATGTAAATGTTTATACAGTCTTGTTTAACTTAGATTTCGTTACAAAAGACAGGCTTTCATTTGTTAGCATAAATCACCCCTCCTCCTCCCGAGTCCTCACAAATAAAATATGAAATTTCGGGTTTGCTTCGGGCTCGGGCCTGCAAATCAAGTTAATTGGTCGGGCTGGATTTTTTGTCCCGATCTTACCTCTACATCATATGACCAATGAAAAAGTCTGTTCAAATGTTTAATCTATTAACATTCCTCTGTTTCGAATCGTCACTTTTGACAGGAAGTTGCGCCACCATGTCCCCCTGGTAAATGGATATATTGGATTTTACATCATTTCCAAAGGGAAATATTGCTTTGGATATTGTGCGATTTGGTTTTAGTTAAGATCAGGAAAAGCGAGGTTCGTTCCCCCCCCCAAGTAAAACCAATGGCAATCATGCAGCAATTGAGATGTTCGCTTTGGCGTGATTGTCGCCTCCCCTCATCCCCTCATAATGGGCCTCTGATGGAGAACAGCAACCGCAGTCATCACGCGCGCACGCACAGACACACGTGCACAAATATTTCAAAGCAGCAGCAACGGTCCCGTGGCGTTTCAACGGCCTGGGGCGTTTTTCGATGCTGCGGTTTAAAATCACCAACATGTCGCGCTGCTCTTCTTCTTCATCTGCTCCTCCTCGATTCCCCTCAGGGTGAACCCCTCAACGCGCAGCCGTGATGGGGAGGAATGAGGAGGAGGAGGACCTGTGGGGAGGGCAAAGGGTGGCAGACTGAAGGGAATGCAGATGAGGAGAGGAGGAGGAACAAGTCGGCTTCATGGTTCAATGTTGCCATTTCCTTTTTAAACATTTTTATTGGGGGGGGGGATGGGCGGAGAACCGCCGCTTCTGTGTGCTGCTTATGTAAATTAGCCAACACTCTCACGTTACGTTAAATTGGAAATGCAGGTTGGCTCCCGCATTGATTTCCAAAAAACAAGCGGATAACAAAATATTTGCTTGGTTTTTATTTTACGCCGAAGACACCTCTGATGGGGAAAAAAAAATGTGTTGGAATGAAATAGCTCGTAATAGTAACAGCGCATAATATCTTGATGAATTCACCTCACACACTTCTGAGCCTGTTACAACTCATTTACATCATTTCAATGTGGCTGCTTTTGAAAACCTGGCCCCCTCAAAGACACTTGCACTTGGCATCACGACATGTGGCAGGTGTGTCTATCATGAGTAGACCCACATAAAAATCTCAAGCAGCCATCCCCGAAAAGACAAAGTTTGCCATTTTGGTTTATCGTCGCCATCTTGGCCTTTTCCAAGAGTCATCATGACAAAATTCAGGAACATGAGTTGGCCCACAAAAATTTTTTGGAGAACCCATGCCTGAAAACACAGAGAAAGCCTTCCCATTTAGTTGGAAGAGGCCATTTTAAGGGTCCGTCTCAATTGCCAAGAAAATCCTGCATTGTGTGCACGTGTACTTCCCGTACACACGCGAAGAGAAAAACACAAGACGACTCACATTGTACGTTTCCAGTCTCCACCCTGTGAGATGCTCCAAAAGAAAGCTGTTTTTAGCTGCTAATAAATGCACAGCGAAAGCTCGTCGCCTCGCGCGGGCTTTTTCGGTCTGGATTTGCTGGCGTCAGGATAATGAGCAGCCTGGATTTCACCAGTCAACCTGTCGACTTGTTTTACCTGAAGAGCGTACGTGTGACTTCCAAATCCATGCTTGCGTTTGCAGCGTGGCCGAGGTTCTGGAGAAACACGGCCTGCAGAAGCCCGTTTCGTACGTCAGGAACAGTCAGAATACCCCAGAGGAAGCCCACCAGCTCATGGTCAAGCTGTGCCGACACACCGGACGCAAGTACGACGCCGCGATGCAACGCTCGCTGGCCCGCCTGCGTGATTATCAGCCACCATATGAGATGTCACACAATAACCATGCTCCTGTTTTAGTACTGTGCTTGTGTGCTTTTGGATCTCGGGACTGATTATATGGATTAAGGTCCCATTGGAGGTAATTAGTTTGGAGCTCATATTTTGTGCGCAGGAAGCCTGCAGTGGGCGAGTCCATGTGGAGGGGTCTGCTGCAGGATCTGCTGGACATGCAGCAGAATGTCTACACGTGTCTGAAAGCACACACATGCCACCAGGTGCAATGGAAATAATATCCAATTAAATGTGATAATGAAGAATCGGTTCATTGCTTTTATTTTTTTTGCAGTATTATTTATTCAAATAATTTTTTTTGTCATCCAACTTTGCCTTTAAATCCGGATTTATCTTTTCCTGCCAGTTTGGATTTCATTTTTGAACGTCGTATATATTTGAAAATGTTTGTTTAAATGTTTTGTTATTTATGTGGTATTTGTTGAATTTATTTGAAAAAAAAATGTTTTGTTTGGTCTGTTCGTTTTTATGTTTTTTCATTTTATTGAAGTTTGGAACATGTAAATGTTGCCCTTTTTTTAATTTGAAATTTCTTCCCTTATTTTTCATGTACAATTCCAAATGTTTATCCAAGTTTCATATTTACTTACCATTTGACTTTTAAAATTTATTGTTCCTAAATTGCGTTTTCAGCTTAACTCGAGGTTTTTTTTTTTTTGTTTTGTTTGTTTTTTTTAGTGGAGCACTTTAGCAGCAACCCCAGCCGGAACTAAGTGTTGTAGATAAATGCAAATCGAGCACAAGACAATTAAAGATAACTTAATTCACATCAACAATAAAACGGTAACAAAGTTAAAAGAATACAAATAAATAAGAGTAAAAGGAAGAGTCCAATCTTATGCTCTGTTAAAAGCCAAGGAACTAAGAAAGCTTTTTCTAAAATGCAATTCCAACTTTGACTGCAGATCTTTGTCGAGTCCCTGCTGTGCTCCAGCCGGCTGGAGAACGTGCGTCTGGCGGGACAGCTGATGCACTGTTCCACGGTACTTTTGCACTTCCCAGCGGAGTCCGTTTTGTGAAGCGTGTCTCGTCATCCTTTGGCTGTTCCCAGATCAGCCGGGAAGATTCTGTCGGTGGGCCGTCGCGTGGGAAGGGCTCCGCCGTCAAGGTGGCGTACGACAGCAGCGTGGAGTTGGTGCTGGCCGCCGCCAGGGAGTACTTCAACTCCTCCACCACGCTCACAGACCCCTGCATGGGACTGGCCAGGTGAGGCCTGCGCACAAATCCATCACTTCCTCGTGTTGGGCAACAATCGGCCATTGTAGTTTTTCCACCAGATAGACCTCAGAAGGTTTCGATTTGTTTTTCATTTCCTTAAAAAATATTTCCCGGATATTCTGACTCTACATTAATTGTCTGACACAAATCCAAAAATGCTTTTGTGCAAATAAAGTATCATTGATTGCACAGACCGAAATGGTCTGTAGCCCAATTTTATTTTTTTCTTCAATAATTTGTTTTCGCCCTCGCCCCCCTCCCCTTCTCTCTCTTCTCACCGTCGGCGTAATTACGCGATGGAACGGCCCGGCAACAAGAGCGCCTCATTTGTGTACTAAGTGGAGTGAAGTGGGAACGTTGTTTATTCCGGCAAAGCGTGCGAATCTCGGAGGCACATCACATTCATCTGAATAATGTTTGATTTGGCCGTAATGAAGCGGCTCATTTGGCCCTGCTACAAAACGCACTCGGTGTAATCGCCGCCTTTTGTTATTGACGCTGCAACCCCAATAAACATCCAGTGCTCCCGCCCCCGCTTTCATTTTAACCGGCTTTGCCGATAATCGTGAAAATCTGCCTCCCTCACCGAAAAGCTTGAGAATTGCCCATAGATGCTGCAAGATGGCAGCAAAACACAACCTCTGATTTAAATGAAAATCCTCACCACACTTTGTCATAGTTCCTTGTCACCGGGGTTCCGCAGAGAGAAGACATGCCTGTGAGTGTTTGTATGTGTTGCTGCTCCATGTGTGTTAAGTAGGAGCTGTATTCGAATTATCCTGACATCGATGTCAAATTTCTGTGAGCCCATTGATGGCTTTTCACATATGCTCGCATTACGGGCGCGTGTGGAACGTATCCCCCCCCCCCCCCCGGGTTGACGTTTTTGTCTTAAGTGTGGGTGTTGTGTCCTTCAGGGCTTGTCTGCAGCTGATCAGTGACTGCCCGCCGGCCGTTCAAGAGGAGCTTGACCTCATCGACGCCCTTAGCCTGCTGCATGACTTTGGCGTCAACATCCTGCCGCTACAAGGTAAAAGCCATCTGCTTTATGGGGAACTTTGAAAATGGCTTCACTCGGCCCAGTGACAATGAAACGGCCAGGCAAGTGGCTGCTGAGCTTTTCGTGCCATCAGCAGGTTGCAAGAGTGAGTTGTGTCCACACTCGTGCCAACGCTGAAGCGTACTAGAAACCGTTTGCCCTTCTGGTTGTTATACACGGTGGATTTAAGAACACGTCTTCGATACTGTCCTTCTTCTGGACTTGTTCCAACGGAACACGACGGGTAATCCGCCATGTTCTCAGAAAAGTCGCGTCTTGGATTGAATAGAGTCAGAGCTCCATCTAGTGGACAAACCCAGCAAGCGTGACTCTTAACACTGAACCTCATTTGCTGTTTTGTTTGAAAGTGTGACTGTATTAGCGTTTAAAAACTCCGGACAATTAGGATTATTTGAAAGACGGCAACTGCGGCCGATTAGGAATATTTTAAAAAGGGCAAATATAGACCGATAAAATTGCTCATTTTTCTGTTGGACTAAGATTTATATTATTACATACCTGTCCCCATGCCTCACCTCGTCACTCACCTCGGAACCCTTTTCTCCTGTCTTATGCCCGCCTCTCAGCAACCCTCTTTTTTTTTTTTTTTTTTTATTCCCACCTGAGTCGAGTTCCATTGCCAAATAGCGGGACAAAGGCGACACGGGAGGAGAAAGAAAAGCCAAAGAAAAGGTTGTTTGTGTAAGGTTATTGTACGACTTTTTCCATCGCTCAGGGCCGTGCCATTGTGCCGCCTGTCTTCTGTTTAAAAAGAGGAACACACAGACACACGTTTTTATTTTATTTTATTCTCATCTAAAGCACACACGGAGGTGCTGAATGGAAGGATTTGATAATAGATGAGCTCTTTCAGCATCAGGTGATGTGTGGGGCACCTTCCACACAATTACGGAATTCATTTTTGTGCTAGGCCCAAAGCATTCTACCGTTGCTGCTGGCGACTTACAAGTGGAATAACCGCTTAAATTTTTTTTTTTTCTGTTGTTCCTTGCCTCTATGTTCAAGCTATAAATGTTAAAAAAAAAAATTGTGTTAAAACTATTTAAATTGAACCTACCTAACCTTTCAATTCACAGTGTTCCTTATCTCAACGTTAAAGCTAAATAAACATTTAAAAGATATTCAAATTAAAAATATTATAATGAGAACTAAATGGATGGGGTAAAAATATTCACATCAATGCTACATTTAGAAAATATAAATTTGATCAAAGTAAAGCATTGAAAACACTCAAATTAAACAAAATTAAGTATTTGAACAATTCAAAATCAACGCTAAATAAACGTATTAGCCGAATAAGTGTTTAGGTTAAATGGAAGCTAAACATAAAAAAAAAAATAAAGTTCAAGAAATGTATTAAAATGTAAAAAATTTGCAATACTATTTCGATGCTGAAGCCACTACCTCAAGACCTCAAGTGCTAAGCTACTCTTATCTTATGTCTTTCCTTGCTCTTACTGTCTCTACAATAAGCCGCTCTCGCACAACTCTAATTGCCCCACGGGGATAAATAAAGTTTTCTGAATCTGAATCTGAATCTGAAAAAAAAAAGCTTCATTATTGAATTTTGCTAATGTTGATGTTATTCTTAAACATTTTTTACTTTGATATTTTCATTGATGTTGGTATTCTCATTACATTTTTTTGTTGTCTTACATTTTTGTCACAATTTAAGTGTGTTGGTTATTTTTGAAAACATTTTCTATTAATTAAAAAAAAAAGTAACATCTTTTTCATTTGTTCATTTTCAATTGTCATGCTTTGTATTAGCACCGATTGTACTTTGGAAATGTTCCACCCGTTTGTGTTTTGGAAATGAGTGTATGCCTTCCTGTCTGAGGTTTTGCCTTTGTGTCCCGCCGTGCAGTGCGTCTGCGCTCCGACCGGCTGTCTCTGGTAAACGAGTGCGTCACCCACTGCGCCACAGCCTACAAACAGTCCACCACTCTGCTCAGTGTGGCGTCTCTTCTGCGAGTGGCAGGTACTTTGGCTTCATACTCCGCGCGCCCGCCGGCCCATCTCATCGTGCTTGGCTTAACCGACGCGCGACATGCGCAGGATCATTAGTACAGTAACTTCACTAAGCAATGCAGCTGTTTGTTAAAGCAGTCAGGTTTCAAATTTGCCTTCACAGCACCAGATGGCTGGCCCTTGATGACAGAGGCAATTTTCTATCCTCTCATTGGTTGTTAAGAGCAATACTTGACACTATCTTCATCTTCAGTATCTGTTTTGTGGCTTGCCATTGATTGACAACTGAAGGCAAACAAAGAAGGCACAATACCAAAAGTTTTTTGTTTTTTTTAAAGTTCATGTTTGATTTAATGGAGACAAAATAATTAGATTTATTTTAACTCCCCTCCCTAACTCCCACTCCCCCCCACCCCCCAAAAAAAAATTACATTCATATCCCAAAGACTGGCCTCGGGGCATTTTGTTCTCTTTGCATCCAATCATCGGGCGCCCTCTCACCACAGACAGCGAGAGATGAGAGGTGGAATAAACACGTTTTCAAATAAAATGTGACGTGGGCTGCTTTTGAAGCATACACAGCTCTCAGACTGCGAATTTAATGTTTAATATTGATTCCTCATCGGCATGGCTACCACAAAAATGATAAGAGGAAAAAAAGGATCATGAAGCATTTGTCTCGCATTCAGGATTTTGGAATGGGCGTTCAGCTGATGTCCCCCTCCCCCCCACGCACCTGTAGTTGGCCCTGAATGACTTTGTGCAGGCTTGCGTGGATACTTTGTAGTGATGCTCCAAATAGCCTCCTTGCAGCCCCCACGATGCGGCAAAATTTCCATGATGTTTGAAACGGCGTCACTTGCCCTAAAAACTTACATTATTCTGCATGGTCTAGTGATGGACTACATGTTCCGACGTCATGGTCCTGTCACCACTGTAGAAACAGAATTCCATTATAAATAGTGGAACCCCATGGATAGCTACTGGTGATGTTCCACTAGGCTCTATGCCAAATCCACAGATTTTTACATTGTGTACGGTAGTCTACATGAATGTAAAAATTCGCTAGCATTAAAGTACATAGTTAGCAGTGTTCCATGAAGCTCAATACTTTACATAAATGTGGAGTTGTCAACATTACTTATTTTTCCAGTCGGAAAGGTAGATAAGATAGATAGAATGTGGCAAATTCTGATTTAAAGTACGTTTGAATTCTAGTTATGTCATTGCCAAAGGAATTAACCTGGTGGTAAACCAAGGACCACCTCAACATAGACAGTCAAATAAACATTTGTGACATTGTAACAGTAACACAAACACAGCTATTGTTTGACTGGTACTACTCGAGTGGTAATGCGAGTTGAATTGTTACTTCAGTCATATTGTACTGAGCAGCCTATACAAAAACACAGCTTACCATCCTCTCTTAATCATCCTTTAAATTTTTTTTTTTTTTTTTTTTTTTTTTTTAGTTGATCATGTTTTGTCACTGATAGAAGAAATAATGCTCGACACCAAAAGCAATCCCGCCAACACTGTGTCATGCAGCACCGATTCCCTCCTTTATGCCTTCTTTCTCCATATTTAATTTGTGCCCGGCAGAGATGAAGAGCCACCGCAGTCACCTCATTTATTGGGGCGGACGGCGATTAATATGCGAACTCGTCGCTCCGACCTTCGGCAGGAGGAATGAGATTTATTGAGACAGATGTTAGACGTGACGAGCAGGATTATGAGTTTGGCGTGTTCATCGAGATGAAGCAAAATCATTTTTTTACAAGCCGCATTTACGTGTGGTGTGTGTGTGTTTGTGTGTGCGTGTGCGTGCGTGCGTGCGTGTCAAGGGGATGACGAGGCCACCCGCAAAGGCCAAGTGTTGACCCTGCTCGCTGAACAAGCCCTCCAGTGTCTGGACTTCAAGGCTTCTTACATCCACTGTCAGGATCTCATGGCTGCAGGTACGTTGTTAGCGCAGCGCTAACTAAATTACTAGCTCAAGACACACACACACACACACACACACACACACACACATACACACACATACACACATTCTTGCATGATGTTACGATTTGTTGATCTGCTAACAGCAGCTCGAAAATTAGCAATTTCTAAAGTTTGTAGAGGCGTCAAATTCCTTGCTTGATTATTTGGGGAAACTTTGTACTTTGTTGAGCCTGTTAGTGGGTTGATGCTGTCAATGCCCAGGGCAGCTTCAAACAACATTTTTTTTTTGCCGTTATGCATTGATGCTTCTTGTATGTTTAAATAGCAGTCATCTGAAGACTTAGAATGACTGTGAGATAAACGTCAACTGAAAATGACCAGTTCGAAGCTTGAAATTTGAAGTTGTTGTGTATAAACAGACAGTTGAAGATGAGCGATCTGATCTTTTTATACTTGTGTTATACTGTGTGGACGTCTTTTAGTGGCTTTCATGGTTGGCTGTACCGCTTGATAAGACCTCTTTTCATTGGTTGCTTGGCTATACATTTTTTAAGCACATGCAAGAAGACACAAAAGAAAGGATGGTTAATAAAATCCTAAAGCGATGATGAGCTTTTTATATGTGACATGATGCTATATATCCTCTTTGGAAGCTTCATTTTTGGATGGATTGAGTCTGTTTGTGACCTTTCCATTGACATGTGCCAGCGTTTTAAACAATTACCCTGCTCGCATCCCGCCTCAGACGGTCCGATTCAAGGTCGACTGCTTTTGTGTGTGCGCCACCCAGAAGCGCGATTACGAGAACACAATATATTGACGTGTGTAATTATTCCCTGTGTGCTTTACACAATTAGCCGGCTGGGATTTAATGTGATTATGTTTTGTCTGGTCTCGCTTGGGGAAAAAAAAAAAATAATCGCACTGAGTAAAACTGCTCCAAGGGAAATCGCTCCGAGGGATGCGGCAGACAGTGTGAGAAACTTGGACGTGTGTTTCAGGTTACAGTCCGGCTTGGGATGTTTGCAGTCTGCTGGGCCAATGCGAAGGCTTCACTGACCTGGAAGCCAGACAGCAGCTGCTGGCCTTTTCGCTCACACACTGTCCGCCCGACAACATCCACGTGCTGCTGGCCGCCTCCAGCGACCTGCAGACTCAGGTAGAACCCGCGCATGCACACACAATCATTTGTTTGTAGTAAGCCCAAGTGTTCAGAAAATTTGGAGTGGAATTCTTTGCCAGTCACAAGAAGGAGTCATGCACACTGTGACAGTTTTTCAGGTGGAGTGAAATTAAATACGGGAGTTTCGGCCACTTTTACACTTGTTGCCAACAGTGCACCACCGGCTGTACCTTAAAAGTAGCCGGTCCAAAGTCCAGTAACAATCTAATCTTGTTACAGTGGACTCATGCGTGTTCCTGGGTCAGCATTTGTAGACTCATATTTGAAATTAATTTCTTATTTTCTTTGTGAAGTGAAACCCATGCTCATATGCAGATTTTTTTCTCACCAGCTGATTTTTTATTTATGTATCTATTTATTTAATTATTTATTTCACCCAGTACCCCACTTATATTGTATTTTTTTCCATGAATTGTATTTATTTCGTTGATTATTTGTGCATTTTTGCCGGGGTTTGTAAATTACCAATGAAATCAATTCTGATGGCAAGCTGTTGCAGTACCACAACAAATGTGAAAATATGCTCAAACAATAGTGTTCTCAATATAAAACTAAAGGGGTGTCCTCCATCTTGTGCTGCTCTTTGTGTGCTGCAGGTGTTGTACCAGGCAGTCAACTACCAAATGGAGCCTGAGATTGCAGAGGGTGCGAGAGAAGCTGATGAGAGCAACTCATCCAAGGTGTGTTTATTTGTATCGATTTGGTTCATACATTTGACCCCCTAAGTCTCTGATCGATTAGCTTGTCTGGTCTTCCGCTCCGAACGTCCTACATTTTGTGATTTCCTGTGTTCTTCCTGAATCTTTACCGAGACGTAAATCCGGTGTTAAGGTTTCTCGGTTCTTTTGGATAATTCATGCTTTTTCTTTTTTTCTCTTTTGCTGACTCTCTCACCTGGCCGTCAACCGGGCCAACTTTATGATGCTTTGAGTTGGCGTTTAATGTTTAATGACCTAACATGGCGTCGCCTTTTGAGGATGGATGGCTGCTCATTTGAAGCTATCTGCTGTCATTTTGTTGTCCCTTGCTCCTCACCTTTCAAGACGCTCGCGCCCTCCAGACATCTCCAGAGGCCTCCGAGTGTGTTTAGTCTCCAAAACAAACATCTTGAGTGAGTGAGTGTTTTAAGTATTGATGACACATTCAGCGGCCAGGCCACTCGCCCTCCAAAATATGACTTTTGAAATCCTTCCCCGCTGGGGGTGGGAAACCAGGCACTATTAACTCATTCACTGCCTTGGATTTTTATAGTCGTCAACTGCAATTCTGCCGTATACGGCCACCGACGTATATATTCGTCATGTGTGTTTTTCAACAGAAAGATTGTCAGCATGCAAGAGGGTCTCCCCCAACTTGTGTCTGGAATTCATGTTTTTTAAACTGCCGTAATGGCCCACACATCCCTGTAGATGGCGGTGAAGATTCGGTGGTGAATCTCATCTAGCTAGCTAGCTATGTCTTTGTCTCTCTCTCTCTCTCTCTCTCTCTCTCTCTCTCTCTCTCCCCCCCTCTCTCGCTCTTTCTCCCTCTCTACCTCTCTGTGTCTTAGCTCTCTCACACTCTCTCTCTTTCTCTCTCTCTCTCTCTCTCTCTCTGTCTCTGCTCTCTCTCTCTCTCTCTCTCTCTCTGTCTCTGCTCTCTCTCTCTCTCTCTCTCTCTCTGTCTCTGCTCTCTCTCTCTCTCTCTCTCTCTCTTTCTCTCAACCTAACCTACCTACCTAGCTATACATCTATGGCTCCATCCTCCCGCTATATTTGTCTGCTTTCAGGCGGCGGGTCCCCATGCGGTGACGGCAGGGGAGCTGCTCCACAGGACGACGGCCAAGACCATGGAGGTCCTGGCCACGACAGGTCTGACCACCAAGGCCGTGCTGAACGCAGTGAGCGATCACCGCTGGTGGAAGCAGTCGCTCAACTACCTGCGCCCACTGCACGTATGTACTGTCACTGAAATGTGTTTTTTTTTTTGTTTGTTTTTTTGACGCCGTCAACTAAAAAGGCACGACGCAACGCCGGCGCCTGTCATCCACATGGAAGTCTGTGCTCAAGCAGACCCCTCGACTAGACGTTAAACCTTTAAGTAGCAATGTCAGGTAATAGGTCAAACTTCCGTCATTTATGTACTCCTGATTTCTTCTTGACTTGCGTCTCGGCCCCTGAAAATACGTGACGGCGTGGAATAAAGTTTATTTTCAATTTTGTTTTCTCAGGGTCAAGATGAGGCCAGTGAGGAGCGCTCGAGTGAGAATTCCAAACTGGAACGTCAAGGATGTTGCTCTTTCTATCAAGAGCTCATTGACCTTCCCTATGTCGACCCGGTGAGTGGATGCACTTGGTGCGACCTGCGTTTCGCTTCTCATTTCAACGGAACGCATTGTGGAAAAGGGACCAACCTTACATAGTCCCTTCTTGTGTCAATTTTTTAGGATGTTTTATAAAAATCGTAATTTAAAAGGCTGATTGACACTCGTTATCAATGTTAGCTTTAGCCTTAGAATTTAGCCTCTCTGAAATATTCGCTGTAAATACCCCAAATAAAGACATTCATGTTTTGATTCCAATTTGGACAACCAAATTTAGCCTCTCCGCATGTAAATGTTTTTTTAGAGCAAATAATCATTAGATAGAAATGCAATTAACAGTAGTTAGCCAAAGCTAGCTGTATCGGCCTAACGTAACCCCGAGCATCTTTAAATGCAGAAATGAAGACATTCACATTTTAATTTCAACTTAAGGAACCTATTTGACTACTCTTGTAAACATTTAGTTGGATTTTATGCAACTATCATCAGATAAAAATGCAAATAATGCTCTTTGGGTATGAACATACGGTATGTGATAATTGTCGCTACATTCCATTTTGTGTGTGTGTGTTTTGTGTGTGTTTGTGTTAAACAACCACCGTACATAAACATACACTGTCATAAACAATTAGATCATGCCTGCTGAGATACACTGCAGTTGTCTACGACCATGTCTTCCCTTCTTTTTTTGCATTCTGGTTGCGCTTATTATTACCCCTCCTCGCCTCAAGCAACATTCTTAAATTACAGCAAATATGCCTGAGTGGGTTCTTGACTTGAGGCGTTTAATTAGATTTTCTTCCTCCTCCAGATGACTTCAAACAGCTCAAAATAAAAAAATTTAAAAAAACGAGGCGGGGAATAAATTAATATTGATTTCGCTAAGTCATTTTAATGCCAAAAGCAATTTGGGAGTTGTCGGCATTAGAGGGGGAAGAAGCGCAACGGCGTATTATCCAAAACGACTTGACATGTTGTGGGATAAAAAAACAAAAACAAAGGCGCTGCCACGTATAGCACACAGCCATAACTGTCAACAGAAGAAGTTACACAGAAATAGAAACATTGAAGTAAAATAGTGGAATGACCTTTGATGCTGGGGAAAAAGGAATCACCCTGAGCATTTTTTTTTCATTTTTATTTTTCAACCGGGAAACACAAAACCCTGTGGATTTGCTCAAAATAGTTGACCTGAGGTGAAACCGACAAAGCCAATAGATCTCCACTCGTGTCACTTTAATCACCGTCTGCAGGAAGCCGTTTGAGCATTTATTCCATATCCTTGATATCCAGCTTCAGGTCCATGAATATTTAGTGTGTACTTGTGGACTTGTGGACCAATAGTGACACTTGAGCAGCTCAAGTATTTGGACTAAATTTTCAAAACAGGTTTCCATTTCCGAACGTTTTTAGATTGAATTTGGAATCTGTCCCAATAGTTTTGTACAAACTGTCAGAAGATGTTTTTTTGTAGGAATACTCTTGCTGTTGTTGACCAGTCTTTCATCTTGGGGGTTTTTCTTAGAGTCAAGACGTGTATTCGTCCTACAAGGACGTACCCCCCGAGAACTTTGCCGAGGTGTTGCTCAGGACCGGCAAACTGGCCGAGGCCAAAACAGAAGGGACCACTTTGTTTCCTGCAACAGAAGGTAACAAATTCCCCCACAATCCCAAAACAATGCAAAAGTCGATTTTGCATCAACTGTCTGCTCACGGCGGAATGGTGACACGCCATCAAAGTAGTCCCGGTTGGCCCGCACGAATGGCTTTCGTCCAAAACACAGTTGAAGAGATGGCCTTCAAGACAATAAACGCACTGATCCATATTCTCCAACAGATGATAAGATGGAGGTACCATATTTGGAGAGTGACACCCCCCCCCACACACACACACACACACACACGCACTCGTGAACACGTTTGCACACACAGTGCATGTGTGTTGACGAGGCTTTTTTACAGCCGCCTGCGCCGATGAAATCCTAATACATCAGCCGTTCGCTCACCATGTGTACAATTTGGCTCTGACCTTGTTGAGCGAGTGAAAAAGTGTGCGCGCCTGTGTGTGATCTGATTGCGCATCCGCCGCGCTGCCTTTAACGTTCACATTTCGAAATGTTGCATTTCATCCGTTCATTTTTCCCCCACCGTGGAAATGTGGCAAGGCCTGTCCTTCGATCAAAATGCGACTTCTCATTTCAATTTGACACGTAAACGGCAGTTTTGGGCGGGTTAATCAACTATTACACTTGACACTGCTTTCTTACTCGTCAAATTGATCAGGCTGAGAAAATACGTCACTGTCAACCATGCCTTTGTGCCCTGCTCCCAAACAAACTGAACTTCTTTTGTTGACCACATGATTGCATGTTTTTGTCCTTTACGTGTGAAATTAAGATCACCTTTGATTCACTCACCAATTTTCTTGATGTAACCGCAAAGGTACGTGTACCTCGGTGACTTTTGAACACAGTCCGCCTGTGTTGAGTTTCTTTTTTTTTTCCTGAGCTGAAATAGCGTAGGCTTTCAAGTCAGGGTTATCTATTGCATGGGTGTGTGTTGATCCCTCTGGTAATTCCTGTCCCGATGGTATCGCTCGCTTGAGAGAGGCGTGTATAATCAGCTCATTGGGAGGTGTAGCTCATTGGAAGCCGCGGGCTCGGCGCGCCGAAGCCGATGACGAGGAGGAAGGAGAAAAGAAGACTCGTCGTTTTGTCACAGTGGCGTATCGCTCCACCCGTCGGCTTGATGCTAACCTCTGTGCTGCCCTTGTTCCCCCCCCCGCCCCCCCCAAACCCCTTTTACTCTCTTCTGGCTTCTGTTCCATTGACCCGTTTTGCTGCTGTCAGGCTGAAACCTCGTATGCCCATTTTTTTTTTCTCCACAGATTGATATTATTGATCTGTCCCCACGTCGTCTGTTTTGACATGAATATTAAACAACAGTGTTGAAAATCACAATTCTCTAAAAAAGTCCCGCCTTCTGCCTCCTCCGCCTCGAACAGGGAATTCAACCTCTCTTCCTAATTAAAACGGATAGTTTTCCACATTTTATTCCCCCGTCACTTTATTTTATTTTGTCACCTCCCGTCTGACGAGCAACGCCGGTTAGGTTAATGATTCATTTCACTTGCCGCCCACACAACTATCGACAGTCATTGCAATTATACATCCAAACGGTATGTGCATTCTGAAATTCATCAAGAGTGGCCCAATCATTTTGCATATGCTGCAAATGACTTTTTTTTTTTTTGCCCCCCGCCCCAATGCAATGCACAAAGGCGTTTCAAACTAATTCCACACCGTGATGGAATTGCTTAAGGAGACCTTCTCACGCTCTTTTTTTTTTTCATTGTGTCATTCCAAAGTGAAATTGCATTCTTGTGCATTCATGACAGCACATGATGACTACATGAATTTCCATTGTCTGCTCACCTCCCCCCCAAAAAATTTTGATTATCATTCTTAATGAAATTTTGTTGCTGTTGTTTTGCTTTAATAGTGACCTCATAATGCACATTGACCGAGTGAGTTGATGTGATCACACACCAATATGAATTACGCCCACTTCTGCAACACGCCACATAGAACCGCTGCAGTGGATTCACAACGTTTTAATCATTCGCTTTCCACAAATGGGCATAGGCTAATTTGGCATTCGGGCGAAACTTTAAAAGTGCACTTTAGATGAAAGTTAGGTGGAGTGCTCTTACTAGGAATGGCCGCGTCCTTTTTAATCTTTGAATAAGTGAGTCCTCTTCCATGCCAGAAGCATACAAAAGCATGAAAAAGATAGACGAAGAGTAGCCAAAGTCAAGGGGGAGATTTTTAATGATGCTGCCCGACTTGTTTCCCGTACTCACTCACTGTCATTTGTATTCAGACAACACAGCAAAAGACTCCCGTCGGTTGTTAATCCAACTCTTCATCCTTGTCCGCAGTGTTGCTGCAGCTGGCCAACGACGCTTTTCCCAGGGACACCACGCTGGCGCTGTCCTACTTGCTGGCGCTGCCCCAGGTAGGTGGACGCCAAGTCCGGCACCGACAGCTCAATTCCAGTAGAAGCGCTGGGCACAATTTCTTACACCTTCTGTCCGTATTGATGAAACCCTATTCATTTTTTTTCCTTTTTTTTTAAACTCTGTGGTGGTGGGGGAAAAAAAGCACAGCTGTGAGAAATTCCCTCACATTGGTCATCTGTCAGCCGCCGCTTGTCGTGAGACCCTTGATAGGATCATGACATGATGGACCGAGTGTCTTTCGCCACTGATCGTGGATTTCGCTTGAAAGTTCAATAGAGTCGTGTGACTGCCAAATATTTTCAAAACAGACTTACCAATGGGCGGCCCGGTGATCGAGTGGTTAGCGCGTCGACCTCACAGTGCAGGGGTTTGATTCCAGCCTGTGTGTGGAGTTTGTATGTTCTCCCCGTGCCTGTGTGGGTTTTCTCCGGGTACTCCAGTTTCCTCCCACATTCCAAAAACATGCATGGTACGCTGATTGAACACTCAAAATTGTCCCCGAGGTGTAAAGTGTGAGCACGGATGGTTGTTCGTCTCTGTATGCCCTGCGATTGGCTGGCAACCGGTTCAGGGTGTCCCCTTACTACTGCCCGAAGACAGCTGGGATAGGCTTCAGCGCGCCCCGCGACCCTTGTGAGGATAAAGCGGATCAGAAAATGGATGGATGAATGGATGGGTTTACCCATATTACCAGCCATTTTTCAGCATTTTGACGGACCTTTCGAGGGGCCACAGTTTGTTGCTCCGTGACAATAACCCGCGAAAAGAAAGGCGAGACCGGAAAAATCACAAAATGAGTTTCCAGCTTTTTCCGTTATTTAGTAATCAGCAGTAACACATGGGTTGTGTTTCCCAAAAATGCCCATTTCTGACCAAAAAGCAGGGAAAACATTTTTTGCGTGTGAATGCCAAGCAGAATGTTGGCTTTGACCCAAGATATATTTTGCCTTTCTGACACCCCAAACTACAAAACAACAAAAACAAGTCTGAGAAAGGCCTTCTGATGCTAAAAAGAATAATTTTGAGGGGGTTATGTTCCAGATCCATCCCCACTAGGTGAAAATCTGCAATGCAGAGAGGCGATATAATTTTTTTCTTCATAGTTTCTACACATTCCATTTTACAAAAAAAACACATTTTAAAGTAATGCTTAGCGACTATTCTCATTCTTTTGCTGTCAACAACTGGGAGACAATCATATCACACCAAGGAAACAAAAACAAGAGAGCGTCTGGCTTCTACAGTTATCCAAAAAGCGGCACAGTATGCGTGCGTCAAGTTGCTTATTTGTCTCACAAGAAGCAATTAAAGACTGTCAAAGATTGAATGATTGTCTGTGTCTTATGTGTTGTGTTATTATGTTATTATGACTTCAAGTTAGCGCCGCGAGAGTGGCTGCCTTTATAGCAGCTCCTATACTTTTTGTTCTTCTACTTTCTTCCTTTCATAACTTTGATGCTGTAAATTGGGAATTTCTCCATTGTGAGACAAATAAAGGTTTTCTGATTCTTATTATTCTTAAAATTCCAAGCTTTTCACCCGAGCCCCTTTCTCAAAGGAAAGTCAAAACAACTGCCCCGTAACACACATGGGGCAGCAACACATACAAACACACACAGGCATTTTTAATTCTCTCTGTGACGTGGGAATGACAGCATTTAGTGTCCAAACGCGGTACTACGCTCAAGCATGCAACTGTAAATTTCAATTTTTTTTTTTTTTTTCCTATCTTGTGAAAACATCTTTCAAATATCTAACTTGTCATCTGCTGTTTTCTGTGCAGGTCCTGGATGCCAACCGGTGCTTTGAGCAGCAGTGCCACTCGGCCTTGTCCCTCCAGCTGGCCGCTTACTATTATTCGCTACACATCTACAGCCGCCTGCAACCTTGCTTCAAGGACAAGAAGCACACGCTCTACCAGGTCTGGTAACTCGTCGTAGGCTTGATGATGTCACCACATATTTCAATGAGTGAAGGAAATAACAGCAGAAGGAAAGAAAAGGGGGAACCGATTTAGCTATTTAGCTAGGTAGCTAGATAGTATGTACGAGATCCATTTTTCTATTTCTGTGTTTTGTTTGTGTTTGTGTGTGTCCCAATCTGCATCAAGTGCACGTTAACTCTCTCGTTGAATTGTTTCGTCTCTATCGCATAATTTCATAGCCGCCCCAATCAGACCCGCAACACTCAAGGCGCAGAAGTCATTTAGTTGCAAATAGTGGCGGAATTCTCTGAGGGGCCGACTCAAGGTGTTTGATTTGTTTTTTTTGTTTTTCAGCCTTTAAAAATCAACAGCATGTTTTCACGCTACACTAGACATGGGGAGATATTGAACCTGAGGCAGAGAGAGAGAGAGAGAGCGAGCGAGTGAGCAGAATTCAGCTGAGCTGATTTTATGAGTTGATGTAAGCTGGTGAGAGGGACAAAATATTTGGACCACTTCTCAGTGCGGAATGTTGCTCCCTTGAGAACGCCGCCACACAATCACGCCATTTAAATGGTCCAAATTAGCTTAGAGAAAAAATATGTGAAATAATTTGTTTTATAAGTTAAAAATGAAAGTACATTTAAATGAAATGAAAATTAATTGAAAAGAAAATAATACTCATGCAAAATGTTGAGAAACATCACATTGATGTAACAATCCATATTTTTCTTTTATTATAATTACTAACATTGTTAATGTTGTTATTGCTTCATGTAATTCAAAAATAGGTGTATGATTCACTTATTTTTCTAATCAATACATTTTGTAGAATTCCTTCAAATTGTATTGTTGCACTTCATCGTATTGAGAGCTGTTCAAAATATTGAGAAATTTTGCCCTCACATTTAAGACAACTGAAAAATTAGAAACCGTTCTGTGTGATGCAGCTGAAATAATCCACTATTATGCAAAACATATATAAAACATTGATATAAATGTGAATAAAATATGATATCGTCACGCTTTCAAAATGAATTTCACCAAACAAGTGAGCACAATTAGCTTTGTCAAGGACCAACTTTTCACTTGTGTTGGTTCTCAGTAGTGAGTCGGCGTACCTAATGAATTGTCCAGTAGTTCCACTGTAGAAAACGTCCACTGGCACTTGAAAGTTACCGCATCATCCCGCCTTCATTTTCTTGTCACTTGTCAATTTTCATCTTGTTCCGCCTGCCGACTGGTTATTTATTAATTAATCAATGTATTTATTTTCTGTCACTTATACCCAGATTTTCTCACGCGCTTTTAACTTGCAAAGCCTTCTGGCGCTCCCTTGCCATCCGATCGTCGCGCACACACACAAGAGTGGCTGTGCATTTCCAATGGCAGCCCGAAGGCAGAATAAGCCCACGTGTCTTTATCTCTCACTGTTCACTTTTCAAAATGACCACTGATGTGACGATTCCACCACCTGTGGCACAACGTGACGTGGCTTTAGCGACGCCTAACCCGACCTGATCAATTGCGCCGCGAAAAGAGAACTTTCTCCACCTGGGCATTTTATCTTTCTGCCTGTTGACTATTGATCAGGAGGACTAATGGAATGCATCTGTGGGAATGGCGACACACAAATAAATCACCTGGATCGGCTGACTTGAGCCCTTGAGGTTGTTTATGTCCGCCTCACTTCTCCTTCTATTCATTTAGCAGTGTTAAATGTAAATATAAATCTCACCAAACTTCTCAAGGGTGAGGATTAATGTTCGATTCGTTGTTTTCTAACTTTAGCTCATACACACACACACACACACACACACACATATATATATATATATATATATATATATACACATATATGTATGTATACACACACACATATATACAGGTATATAGTGGATATAAAAAGTCTGCACACCCCTGTTCAAAGGCCAGGCTGTGATCAAGATAAATCACTTCACAAAGGTTTCCACCACGATCATGACCTCTCACCCGATTCAACCGAGACTCAAACCCAGAAGCTTGTGTGAAGCAGATTTGTAAACCGCTAACCACTGCGCTAACCCTCATGTTATTAAATATAAAACCAATTTTCTCTACTGAATAGAAAGTCGTTCAAGATTCCATCCTGGGTAAAGATTAACACATTAGCCGAATAGCTAGCGGATTGATTGAGACGAGCCCTTTGTTTACATTTGGCATTGACTTGGCGACTGCTGCACCACTGGGCTGAATCTCCATTGTTGGAGCTGCTGCCTTGTTAAGTCGCCATTATGGAAACTCACTACAAGCCCGACGACTGCCAAGGTTTTACAAAATTGCATCTCCCTGAACGAGGATTTCAAGTGGGCCAGTTTTGCACCGTGGTGCAATTTCAATCTGTCGGATTCATTTGATCACCCGGCGGTTACAGTATTTTTTACATTTATTTCTTTGGTTTGGGGGTCGGGGTGAAGGGATTCTCAAAGTCGCCGCTTGCTCCCTATTTATGCTTAGTCACTGTTTACACTATTAGCGCTAATGAGTGCACTGACTGCTATCTATGACATAACTACAAGTCATTAAAGTCATTACTCGCTCACTTGTTCCCCGGAGAGTGCAACCGTGCCGTCCTTCTTTTACAAAAGAGCCGCGCATGTGCTTGCCACTGGTTTTAAACTCGTTGAACGCCGGAGGGTATCGTATGTTGGAATACGAGTCGGCAGTCGTATGTTTGTGTTTGCCAGGCGGCTCACTCTTTGCTATAATGGGACGACAGCTGTTGGGTTCACCGGAAAAGCCAAGGGCCTCCGCGCACCTGGGGCCGCGGCCAGAATTGTATCTGGATAGAGAATTAATCCACAAAGTAAAAAAAATGTGGTGAAACATGGCCTAACAGACTCTTACACCACTTTCTCAATCATCTGTCCTGTCCGAACTTTTGATTGGCAAATCTGCCAGGGAGCAAAGCAGCTAAGGACTTAAGGTTACGACACACACACACACACACACACACATACACACACACACACACACACACACACACACACACGCACACATGGTATAATTATCTTTTGCAAATACCATGAAGCAGTGGCCCACCTCATCCAACCGGCCCATGAGCTTCCATCTCAACATTGACTAGTGTGAATTAGAACTGAGGAGCTGACATGATGTTCCCGCAGTCCAATTTCCCGCCGCAGGCCTGAATCACATTGGCCGTTAAGGCGGCTCGCTACATCTGGGCCGTATTTTTCCAAGCGCGCAGGAGAGCAAGGCACCCCCCTATTGAATTGCCTTCAGCCGCCACACTTTGTGTTCCTGGCAGTGAAATTAAAGAAGCAAGGCTTACATGCATTCGTACGGTCGCTGTCCCGGCTTTCCCGGAGGCCATTTTGGAGGCAAAAGAAGAATGAAAATAGCCTCATTAGTTTTTCAGTGAAAGGCAGCGGAAAAGCGGGCAACTTGTCGGGTGCAATGCCTGCACCGTAACGATAAGCCAAAGGGGCACTTGGTCCACAAATCGGTTACGCACACATTCCCCACTGCCATTATGCACCTAATTTTCTTTTGTCTTTAAATGACAGCGTGACAAAAGTATTCTTTTATGCTCTGTGGCCACAAAAAAAGAAGAAGAAACACAAATAGCACTAAATGCTGTGTTAAAAAAATAAAGAAAATAAAGAAAATAGTCTCTTCACTTTACAAAGGAAATACATTCCTCTGGAAGCAGCATAACCAGGACTAACCTAGTTTCAAGTAGTACTGAAGTCATAATTATAGTAAACAGTTGTATTAAAACACTTCTCGGACATAACTATTTAACAATTATATGAAAAACGGTAAGTTACGATGCCAACTGAGCTTACCTTGTTGTGCTGCATGACCAAACTAAGTACTTCTTGTATTTGTTATATCTAGCTCTTTTACTGGAGCACAAAGCAATTTTGACACTGTTCGAGAATGGACCTAGTATCGAGACTTGTGGAACACCACAAGTTTTCTGCTATAATGTAGGGAATTTCCATGTCATATTTCACATGTATTATAAAAACATGTGCTGTACTGCGTTCGGGTTGGTTAGTGATGGACTATGGTGCTTTCCGACTTGAGCACAAATTCACGTCACAATGACTCGTCATTACTGCAGAAAACTGGTGATGTTCCACAAGGTTCGTTACTCGGTCTATAAATGTATTGGTCAAAACTGCCTGTTATTGCAAAAAATAATAATAATAATAATTGTGGTGTTCCACAGGTCTCAATATTAGGTCCGCTCTATGTGATTGTCAAATTTACCAGGAGAACCTGTTTGGTATTGTTTTGATTTTACATTTCCTTGGAAGATTGCAAATTTGACTTCAAACCGCCATCCTACAGCAGTACCTTACACACAAAAGTTCAATTTTCAGTCTCACTTTTGTTCATTTTTACCCATAGTGATTCACACCAGAAAATTAGCTTGATAATAAAGCAGCATAATTAGCAGCCTGTGCCGACATGTTCGCATGACTCCCTCATCTTCCTCTTGTCGGCAGGCTGACCCAAAGGAGCTTATCCGACTGGTCACCCAGCACGTGTCGGCCTACTCGGGCTGGCCCGAAGATCTGCAGAAATTGATTGTGCAGTTGCAGACGTACAATGAGCGATTGAGCGACTACACGCAGGCGCAAGTGCTGCAGGGTCTGGGCCGTGGCGTTGACGTGCAGCGCTTCAGCTCCGACCCTGATTACAAGAAGGAGACCATCCTCGGCTTGGCTGAGTGAGTCCTATGCAAAAAAAATATATGTATTTATTTTTCTGTTTTTGAAAGTCTGACCTAAAACGAACAGAATGAAATCCAAAGCAGTATTTCCCATATGGAAATAATGTAAATCTGGTTAATCTGTTACAGAAGTATTAAAAAAATACATTTTTATAGATAGGAAAATAATGAGTAATCTAAACTTTTTGCCCAATTGTGTAAAAGAAGTTTCAAGACCTATCTCACAGTCCAAGCAAGCTTTTATTAACAACTCAAGGCAATAGCAAGCTTACCGGTCTGCTTGGCAACATTGACATGCCCACAAATTGGGGCAACATTGTCGAAAACATCCTTTCAAAATTTCAGCCTTTAGAAGTCCTCATGTATTATGTCAATATTTGCTTTGAGATGTATGTGTTTGTGTGAAGCACTAATGATTGGTCATTATTTTCCCGTCCTCTGTGTTTGCGTGTTCTTAGGACCCTGGACGACGGCGTGTATGGCATCTCGTTGTCACTGGCTAAACGCTACCGTGTTCCTCTGTGGGAGGTCCACATGACTCATCTGGAGTTCCTTTTTACAGACAGCGGGTATGCACATGCACGCACACGCACGCGCACACACACACGCACACTCTCACAGACATACAGTGATGCAGTGCATTTTTCTTTTCATCTTGTGCAAATTGCTCAATTTCGCCTCATTCAGACAACTTTACCCAACTTGCCTCTAATGGACTGTACACGCTCTTGAGGCTGACTCTTTTAGGGGAATCCCACGGGATGGGAGTCAACTTTAGGTTTAATCACGGGATTGGGACAGGAATATCCAACACTGAAGGAAAAAAAAAACTTAGAGTCCATGCGGAAGAGGGGTAGGGGTGACAAACTTATTTTATTTTATGTAGCTGACCTCCAAAATGGGAGTGGGAATTATTCTGAATGGGAGCGGGATGGGATGAGAGTCGTTTTCACCGGGACCGGATGAGACAGGATTTTTTTATTAAATTTTTATTTCAATGGTCTGTAAAGGGATTTTTTTTTCTCTGGGGGTGGGATGGAACGGAACTGAAACTCCACTTCCGTGTCACCCTCTCACACACACACATGCACCCATGGCAGCCACATCATTAGGTACACCAACCAAGTTGGACACCATTGTGTAAGATGCATGGCACCTTCGCCAAAGCAGGATAATCTTCATTGGGATAAGCACCAAACTCATCCCCAACATACACAGGCAAGGTTGAATTACATTGTGAGCTCAATGTGCAGGTTTTTTTTTTCATAATACTGCTAATTGGCATTCAGGAAATACATTGAAGTGCCTTGGTGGAGGTACTTATGCTCAGTTTATAGTGTCATGTGGTGATCATACAGTATATGCACACACTGGGACTCATTTGTTTCAAATGACATCATTTCTTAAATAAGGGCAAATCACTGCATTTTTTTTATATTTACTGTATTTGTACTTACAGCCCATTGTGTTTTAAAAACTGTATGCCGGGTGTGCATATGCATTTGTATGCTTGCGTGTATGTGTTTGAGCATGTGCATGTAGATCAGTGAGAAATATTCGCCCTGTCATGACAGGATATAAGAAAATGCTTCATGGATTGTGTTTCATGATAAATTATAACCAATGGTGGGCCGTGTGTGTGTTTTGGACAATTATGTGTGTAGCCGTCCGTGTATTTGTGTCTTTGGGCATGTTATTGATTGACTGCATGCGTGACTGCTGTTAATATTGTAAAATGGAGCTGGTGGAGGCCACTGGTGCATTGCAGAAGAGACTTTTGCTCTATTTCACCGAATAGAAAGTGTGGCCAAGATAGATTACACTAGCGGACCCCGACCGCGACGTTTGGTCGCGGGCTACATACATAGCCAGACAAAAAAATATATATATCTTGTCTTTCCAGTTTTTAGAGCAACCAGGTGTCCTTTAAAGCAGGGGTGTCCAGATTCGGTCCTCATATTCAGCTCCCAAAGTTTGTTTCAGTGAGTGACATGAAAATTGATAGACACGTCTATTATTCGTGAACAGGCCCACCAAAAAGTCTCAAGAACACATCCCTGAAAATGACACAGGAAGTCTGCCATTTTGATTCGCAGCAGCCATTTTAAAGTCATTTTGGGCCTTTTCCAGGGCTCCTTCAAAGAATATTTTGCCCTCAAAACCAGTTTCACCCAACGACATCAAATTTGGTCGACATGTATATCATGAGTAGTTCCACAAAAAAGTCTCTAGATAAGAAGCCATGCTAAAAAGACACAAGGAAGGCTGTCATTTTTGTTTGAAGTCGGACAATAGTGGATCATCTTGGTGTTTTTCAAGGGACATTCAGAGAGAAAATTCTGCCCCCAAAGTTAGTTTCACTGGCAGTCGGAAATTTGGTAGGCATGACTTTCATGGGTAGGACCCACAAAAAAGTCACAAGAAGCCATGCTTGGAAAAGGCAAAGGAAGTCTTGCATTCTTATTCTGATAAAAATGCAAAATGATCAGTTAGGCTTATGTGTGACGTTATTCTACATATGTGATGTTGCTAATTTTTTCGCAGTCTGTCCACCAAGGACATCGAATCCCGCAGCGAGTCACTGGGCCTGTTGGCCACGCTGAAGAGCGACCCGCAGAGCTTTTACGGCCACATGAGCAAGTACGTGCTGCCCAGCGTGGAGGGCAGCGACCTGAGCCGGCTGCTCTACTACTACACACTGCTGGACGCCGCCGGCTGCCGGCCATACATGGCCGCCGTCGCCATCACGCCAGACAGCCACATCAAGTTGCTCAAGAAGCTCCGTGCTGTGGCCAGCGGTGAGTTGTCAATTCAATTTGAGAAGTTATCATCACACATGTACAGAAATAGTGCAACCAAGAGAAACACTACCAAATGACTAGAAAAGACTCTTGGAAGTGGATGAATACAATTTCATGGAGCAAATATTCAAATTTAGGGAGCTTATGTTGGTCAATGCTTCTGGTGCTCTATAGTGCTTTGCTTGCCCTGACCACTCACCACTGGTCAGTGTCCTCGCCAAGGTGGTTTGTGAGCAAGTTTCACTTTGTTACCGCTTGAGTGAGCAAAGTTTACAATTGAACGGCTGGCGATGCGGCGACCGGTCTCTGAGGACTTTGCGGAAAGGTCAGCGGGGTTTTCACGCCTCACTTGCGCCGTCTGCTGTGTGATGACGCTGCAGCTTTCCACACATGCTGCCGTCTCACGCGCAACGCCATTGCCAGGTTGTTATTGTTTTTTTGCCTCATAAATGTGTCACAGAGAAGCTGGCCTTGTCTTGGTTGTTACTTTCCATGAGGAACTTGTGATTTTATTTTGTTGTTAGTTTTAAATGTGTTTGTTTGAATGTTCTCGAATTATTTAAAAAAATATATATTTTCAATTTTTTTCTTCATTTTCTTGTTTGTTTACACATTCACTGCTCATTAGTTTCCACTTTTACATTTTTGTTTAAATTTTAACACGACGCTCGGGCAGTTTAGCTCAATATATTTTTTTCAATTGTCAAATATCTATTTTTTTAATGACATTTTTTTCCTTATTATATTCTAATTGCAAAGGTTTAATTTACGTTAGAAATTACCCAGACACATATAAAGCATATGTAATTGATTTATTATTGTCAAGCAACCGAACAAAATTCTTTTTCCGGTAATGTCCCACATGATTGGCCGCTTGTTGCTTGGCAGAATTTGTCACCCGCAACCATCAAACTGCCCCACCTGCCAGCATCATTAAAAATGCATATACGGCCAATCTAATGTGTTTTAATTGTGGTCTGACGGCACCCCGCGGACGGGCAGACACATGTAAATACATGTGAATGTAAAATATATACTGTTGGGAATGACACTAAAGCACACGTTGTACCCTATTTGTGTATGCGATTTTGCTCACAACACGATACAGACGGCCATTTGAGTGTGTGAGTGGGCGGGGGAGTGAGCATTCGTATGAGTGCAGCCTCCACTCTTCTTTGGAGCTCAAGTGTCTGCCTGTGTCTGTCTGGAATTGCGCGCGTGCGTGTGCGTGTGGGTGCACGCGTGTGCGTGGTAGTCACGGTTTGATGTGTGCATGCGTGTGCGCGCGTGCGCATATGTGCATCTGCCACCCATAGGCGGGCCACTGTTGAATATTTCAAGCTCAGACAGGCTGCCATACTAATGCGTTTGTCTGTCTGCTTTACAGCACGCATGACGCAAAGCAACAACAGCAGTCACGTGCATATTTTGTGTTGGGACTATACATCAAGATGGAAAATATAAATATTGTATGACTGTAATTTGAATATTAAAAAATCATAAAAGCTAACCCCCGGGAGCATTGCACAAGGCTCCAAATGAAAAAAACGAAAATTTTTTTACATTGTGCAGATGCAAGTATCCATCGTAAAGTGTATAGCATTAAAAACTGTTACAAAGAGTTCAAGATATTTAAAAGATGAGGATAGAAATAAGACGCTTACTAAAATTACTAAAAGAGCGAGCAGCGCAAGAACAAGATTTTAGAAAACAGTTTTAAAAAGGCTCTGAAAGACTTGGTATGGGGAAGGCATCATTTTTAACCTGAATTCTGGTAATGGTCAAGAGTCCCCACACTCATTTTATACAATGTATTTATTTTTAACTAACCTTTCCTTTTGAATGTGCAAACCAATAACACGGCAAATTAATTTCTTTCATTTGGTGGCAGGCTTAAACTACCGCCACCTCACGGACGAATCCCGGGACCCGCTGGCCGCTCTCGAACCGGTCCTGACCAGTCAGAACGTGTTGTCCATCTCTAAACTGGCCCATCTGCTGCCGAGGCCTGGCGGCAATGGCCAGGGGGCGACATTGTCCGCCAGTGCGATCCACGCCACCTGGCTGCGCAATTTGTTCTGGAAGGGCGACGCCCAGCTGCTCAAGAGCCCGCCTCTCAACGAACAGGACTACCTGCACGCGTACGACACCTGCGCCAAGTACCTGGACAGGCTGCTTCCTGTCCACGCCGTCCACTTCCTGGATGATATCACCTTCTCCACTGAGGCCATCACGCATGTAATTAAGTTCCCATTTGCAATTGTCATTATTTCTCCATTGCGCTAGAGTAACACAATTATAGCAGCCTGTTGTTTTTCCTCCTCCTGTTGCTCTCCACTCTCCACCATTTTTTCTAATCTGACTACTTTTTTGGCCCCCCCTCCCTCCATCCATCCCTTGAGTGAGCTAATTTCTGCCTCTCCCGCTTTCAGCGCCAATTAAAGTGTAGCACCCAGCAGGCTCCACTGCGCTCCCCGTGCGCACTTTAACATGCACTTTATCTCCCTGAAACCTGCTGTCATGCCTTTCTCCATCAACTCCAAGGGGGGGGGAAACCTTGACTCCTCTCACTGACTCCCTTTTGCCCTCCCCCCCATGACACGTACTCCCCACACATGATGGATGTCTCCATTTCCCACAAGGCCACGGGGCGAGGGCACAGCTGACCGCCCACTGGACCTTATGTACTCGGTGTAATGTTTTTGTCAGAAAGTGGTGGGAAACGCTCACTCTCTCTTGGCCTTTTCAGATGATTCATCACAGAGAGAGAGCGTTTTTAATGTTTAACCTTCAGCTTGTAGTTACTGTTGACGCCGCTTACTCATCCACTCGACACTTTTCGGCCCGCCGCATACTGAGCCACCCGGCCGAAAGCGACTGGACAGAACAGGCTTTGAAAAAAATGACTCCCCCGCCGCGCATCAGACAATTGAACCTCGAGCGTCTAAACCAAATCGCTGCAACACAAAAACTACAACACTGCAATTTGAGAAATTTACATACATAGTTTTGCAAAAAAATATGATGCTATTGTCAAGGAACAACATCTCCCACGTTGCAATGCAGTTTAGGCAATTGAAATATTGGATAGCTGCAAAACCAGTGGCCGATGGTCCACACTCCCAAAAAAGGTTACAATTCATTTACCTCATGAGGCTCTTGTAGTGTGTGTTGTCATTCTATCTATGTGTGGTAAAAGCCATGAAATTCCACCTTCATTGCAAGGTCATTTTGGCTGGAAAAAAAAGGTGCAATTCATTCACACCATTAG